TCCTTCCTGTCTCACAGCTTCTCAGAAAGGAAGGACGATGCAGCGGTTGTGGCGCCAGGAATCACTGGAAGTCGTGGTATGTTAATTCCATGGGGAATCCATTCCCCACATGAGCAGGAAGGTTGTGGCCCCAACCTGCGTGAAACAGGGCTGGGTTGGGGTGTTGCGGGCCGGTCTTGCACCACCCCCTCGCCCCCTCCTTCCAAGCCAGGGGTCAGGCGCCCAGGCAGGAGCAGCGATCATTGGCAGCCAGTGGTGATGTGTATTTTCCTTTCTGTCTCCCAGGTCCTAAGAGGCTACTGTACCGCAGGGCCCAAATGGACAAAGGGGTGACGGCCATGGAAGATGTGGTATGTTAATTCCATGGGGAATCCATTCCCCACATGTGCCAGATACGGCTCGGGTTGGTGAAAGTGCGTCTGAGTTGACGTTCTATCAGTAGTTTTTGGCCATTCACAGCCCATTCTCATGTGATGTCCCTCTTCCTCCACAGGGCCACGCCTCCAGGGACGAAGCTCCAGCTCCGGCTCCGGAATGAAGAACCAGATGAACATCCCGGCGGTTCCCGGCTGACGTCCCTCGCGGCGCGTCCCCACTGTCCCTTCTCCGAACGGGCATGGCTCCTTCCCGGCCCAGTTTGGCTCCCTGGCTTGCCTTGTCCCACAGATGTTGATAGCTTGGCAGGTCCTCAGCTGTGGTCCCCAGATGATATTTTCTGTTGTGAATTACTAGTTGGTAACTTCCTCTGTTTTTATTTTCCTTTCTGTCTCACAGGTTCTCAGGCAGGAAGGCATCAGCAGAAACAAATATCCCTGGAGATTGTGGTATGTTAATTCCTTGGGGAATCCATTTCCCACATATTTATTTATTTTAATTTCTATACCGCTTTATATTTGTAGTAAAAATCTCAAAGCGGTTTACAGCATAATAAATCAATAAAACTGTCATGGCCTGTGACAGCCCATTCACACGTCCAGTGATTCTTCCCTCAAAGAAGCCCTTAGTGTCCAGTTCTCTCCTGCTTCAAAGATCCCTTCTTTCTTCCAGGATCTCCTGTCTGCACCGCTGTGGCTGCTGCCAAAGCCTCCCATAAAAAGAACAAGAAAGAGGAAGGGCTGGGAGAACACCCTCCAAGTTGAGTGTCAACAGAGAATGGGAGAAGAACCTTCCTGCAGAAAGGAGATGCTCTTGTCTTGAAGTGGGTGGGCCAAGCTTTCTTGGGGAGCAATGTCAGGGCAGGGGCATTGGGCATCCATTCCCCACGTCTGCCAGGAGGATACCAAGTCCTTCTTCCTCCACAGGGCCACGCTTCAAGAGAATGAAGCTGCAGGGGAAGTCCTTGAGTCCTTGAAGCTGCAGGGGAAGTCACTCCCCTTCTCCCCCTCAGGCTGCTGTTCAGCAGGTGAAGCTGATTCCTGACCCATGACACTATCCCCCTCCCCAAGGTGCCCTCCACCTGCCGGATGGGTGACGCCCTTTGGGGAGCACAATGGTGGAAGTGTTGGACCAACCGGACATTGGGGGAGCATGGACAGGCAAGGCATCTTCCCATGAGGAATTTCCATTAAGTCCATGTCCATAGAAAAGGCCGTAGCCCCCCAATTTCTCTCATCTTTATCTTTGGCAATCACACGTAGCCAAGTAAGATTGTCTTCCATGAACACGATCTTAACAGTGAGTTCATAATGGACTATGGAGGCCAATTCTGAATCCACATGTCCTTCCACAGTGGGGATATAGATTTCCAGGTGGGAGTTGATCACGGTGAGGGTTTGCCAAGCGTGCCTTCCTCCTAGTTTGTTTCTCCCTTTTGTCCTGAGTTCGAGTATCTTCAAAGTCCATGACACCGTTGGTAAAGGCTGTTCTCTAATTGGAGCGCTCGCACGCTAGTGTTTCCCAATTGTTTACATAACATTTCTTTTAGATCTGCCTTGAGAGAGTCTTTAAACTTCTTTCGTTGACCACCAGGATTACATTTTTAAGTTGCTTGGAAAGATGATAATCAGGCATATCCCAGGTCTGTAAACCTGCTTTCCAGGTAATTAGAGGGGGTGGTGTGAGGCACCCGGGCATTAGGAATACAAGCCAAGCCCTGGCTCTGTGGCCCTCCTAAATTGAGGTTATTCTGTTCCTGGGCAGCTGGCAGAGCCCCTCTTCGCTGGGCATGGGACTGCCACATTCCCCGGTCTCCACAGGAGACTCACAGTCCCTCTCTGTGTCTCTGTTCCTTTTTGGCCACCATCAAACGACTCCCATACTGATCCTAAGCTGAAGAGCTGCCCACCCCAGCTGACCTCCTCCCTCCAGAACCCACCACTCTCAACTGACTCCCAACTGCCTCCCCACCAACATTCAAACTCCCTTTCAAAGCCTCCTCCAATCGTCACTCTCCCCCAGAATTCCACACTCTCTCTTACCCCCTCCCTCCCTGCTTGATGGCATCTTGGACTCGATGGCCCTTGTGGTCTCTTCCAACTCTATGATTCTATTCTATGATTCTATTATTCTTCTTCTTCTGGAATGGGAATAACTAACAAAAAGGGAACGAAACACACAGAGTGAAATTTTCACAGCCCCACAGTTGTGCTAAACACCAAGAACTCTCCCCATTAAGAGTAAGCAAAACCAGGGGCATCTTGCCCATAGAGGCAAGTGGCGCGGGCGCCAGGGCGCCAAGTTCTGGAGGGCGCCAGGGAAGAGGCGGAGGCTGGATGTGGCACCTCCAGGCATCAGTTGCCCTCCCCCGCCTCGCTGAAGCAGTGCCCTAAAAAGGGCACCGGAGGGATCTTTGCACCATGGCGCCGGATATACTTAAGACGGCCCTGAGCAGAACCAAGCTCACTGTGTTGCTCTTCTGATATCAACGTATGGGGTTGATGATTGACAAAGTCTTATGCATTTGGGATCAATCCTACGAAATCGTTTTGCCGATTCCCGACGCAGAGAATTAGGTTGTGGGCCTTGGGCTGCTCATCCAAGCTGTCAACTGCCTGTCAATGGTTCTGTCGTGTGACAAAGGTATTTGAGAGCAGAAGCCGTAAAGGAGTCTAGAAGTGTTGTGAAGTGCTGAAAAGCTGCAGAATCGTTTAGCATGCTGAATCACTGTGACTCATCTTGAGGATGACTCCTTCTCTGTATAAGTACAGTATCTGCTTGCAGGCAGACTCAGAGTGTGCGATGGAGCCTGAGCTCTGGGAAGCCTGTGCTCAATGGAGGCTGTTGGTGCATAATGCCTCTGTGTGACTCAGTAACTCTGTGTATGCTCTGGAGCTAGTTCAATCTTCTGTTCACTATGCTGTTATTTGCAAATAAGTTTATTTTTAACTCAGTAAAGTTTTGATTCTTTTACTGAAGAAGACTCTGCGTTACTAATTTACGCTGGGCGTCAGGTTCTCTAAAGGGTGGCAGGTAGCAGTTGCTCCCAGCCTGGCCTAGATAGACCAAGGATTGACCCACCCAGGGGCCTTTTTAGGCCATAGCTCAGCGCCTGTGGAAGGCCACAGGGTCAGTCCTCAGCATCTCCAGGTGAGGCTTGGGAAACTCTGATCCCCAGGTGAGCTGCTGCCAGCCAGGCCAGAGGAAGGCAGTCTGGAGCTCCCGGTACCTGGGATCTGGCTCCTGAGGCAGCTGTCTATGCAGCCCAGTGGGTGAGGTCTTCTGCCAGGCAAAGGGCCAGGCGCTTTCCTGCATATTCACCTCTGGTGACTGAACCCTCCATGGCCGAGCTTCAATCTGTCTCTCTGTGTGCCTGTGTTGGGTTAGCACAGTGGGAGTGCCAATGCTTCTTGCATCCTTAGAATCAAAGAATTGTGGAGTTGGAAGGGACCTTGAGGATCATCTAGTCCAACTCCCTGCAATGCAGGAAGATGCAGCTGTGCCAGAAGGGGATCGAACCTGCAAGCTGGCCCTTCTTATCCCCACACCTGAAGCCAAGCAGGGAGTTGAGTCAAGGCCCTTCTGGGTGCCCAGAAGATGCTCTGCCACTGAGCCACAGCCCCTCCCAAACAGAAACACAGGAAGGGGATTTAGACCTTAGATTGCTCCATCTACCTCAGAGTGGCTGGGGCAACCCAGGAAGATGGGCGGGGTACAAATAACTAGAAATAGTATTAGTATTAGTAGTAGTACAGTGGTACCGTGGGTTAAGGACTTAATTTGTTCTGGAGGTCCATTCTTAACCTGAAACTGTTCTTAACCTGTAGCACCACTTTAGCTAATGGGGCCTCCCACTGCCACTGTGCGATTTCTGTTCTCATCCTGAAGCAAAATTCTTAACCCGAGGTACTTTTTCTGGGTTAGTGGAGTCTGTAACCTGAAGCGCCTGTTCTAAAAAGCAGATGTCTTCCCCCCAAAGATCCTGGGAACTGTAGTTTGTTAGGCGCTCTGGGAACAGCTCCCATTAGCAGAGATCTGTGGAGTCCTAGGAACTCCATCATGAGGAGGAACCAGGAAGGAAGGAGGAGCTCAGATGCCCCGTTCTTGAGTTGGGGAGGGACCCCGTGCCTTGGAAATGGAGAACCATTGGGTGCTGAGGGTCTCAGGATTGTGCCTTGCCTTCAAGGGGGACGCCTGGGAAATGGGGTTTGGTCCTGCTCAAGCTCTAACAGAAGACCATATATTGGAGGATAGGAAGGGATTCCCCTCAGATCAGATTGGCTCAGGTGTATCTGAGAGGAGCCAGCAGATGTAGCGACAGCTAGACTGGGGACTGGGAGCAGCCGCCGGGACCACAGAACACTGGTCCTAAAGGATCTACAGTGGCTCCCGGTACATTTGTGAGCACAATTCACAGTGTGTGTCCTGTATACCTGAAGTAGGGTTGCCACCTGGTTCTTTAAAAAGAGAGTTTTAAAATTCCACCGTTGACAGGAAACTTAAAAGGATAGGAATCTGGCTGCAAAACCTTCTTTTGAGCACGTCCAGCCATGAAGCTAGCTGCCTTCCTTCCCTTTGCCCCACTTAAGAAAGAACCAGGCATCAACATGGGAACTTTAAAAATAAGCTTTATTTACTTTATAAATCATGCATCGGTTCACATCAATAGTGTCATTAAAAACTGTGCAGGCAAAATAGTGTTATACATTTGTCGGAGACCCCCCCCCCAAACCCCAGAAATACACAAAAGGTAGAATTTTGATTAATTGGGATATGAATGAAAGTACAGGCTGCACAACTGTGCCAGACAAGGAATTCCTGGGCTGACTTTTGCAAACCAGGCTGGCCCGTCTAGCAAAGAGCAAATCTGTTAACACACCTGAGATTGCTGGGCACACGACCCAAGGGGAAGTGGGGATGAGCCCCAAAGGTATGGTGGGTACACAGCCTATGGTTTCAAGGGAAAGGTCTCTAGCAGGCTTTAGCATGCACAGGGCAGGAGCGTAGTGAGATTTATTTTGTATTATTTCTTTGCACCATCACTGCGCGTGACCCTTTGAAAAGAGGCTCCTTAAGCTCTTAATTTGAGGCAAGGAGGCAACAGCGAAAGGCTGAGGGTCCAGGGTGGTCCCTGAGTCCTGCTGAAAGACAGAAGCCAGGATCTGTCAGTTCAAACTTCTGGGTTCCCTGGCATTTCCCATATGTATCCTCTGGGACAACACTGCGCCTCTACCACCACTGGCTATTCATGGTCTCAGCTCGCGTGTGACGCTACAGTTCCCAGATGGACACAGAGTACAACTGTGAACATTAAAAAGTCAGGAGCCACCAGCAATTTCATGCTCTGTGAGTTTGCCCAGCAGCATGGTGTGGCAACATGATAACTGGGGACTCAGCGGAAAGTGAGAGCCCATTCATATGAGAGCCCATACTGTATCCTGCTTCTTCCACAAGGCCAGGCTCCAGGGATGAGGCTCCAGATCCGGCACCCGGGATGAAGAACCGAACAACATCCCTGCGATTCCCGGCTGATGTCCCTCGCACCTCTTCCCCACTGCCCCTTCTCCGTGTGGGCATGGCTCCTTCCTGGCCCTACTTGGTGCAGAAGCAACACCCAAAGTTTCCTCCCATTAAAACAGCCTCTCAAGTTATTTCAGAGAGGGAGGAGACTTTGGTTTCTGCTTCTGTGCTAGGCCGATTGGGACGGAGCCCAGACGCCCGTAGGGAGGAGGACAGGTTGGGGCAGCTAATAAGATCAGGTAGGAGGAAATGCCCCTTTCCCAGGTCCCCCCCCTCCTGCCCCAGACTGGGCTAGCGTGCCTGGGAGCCAGGCACCTGCTGATGTCTCCGTTTTCTTTGCAGGGAGGGAGCCTTTCCCCAACATATACTTTCTTCTGGTCAAATCCTTGGAGAGATGTGACGACCCTCAGGTACTGGGGCAGAGGGAACAAAGGGGTCCTTCCATAGTTTTTGGCCCATCAGAGGCCCATTCTCATATGATGTCCTGCTTCCTCCACAGGGCCACACCTCCAGGGATGAGGCTCCAGCGCCAGGATTATTAACGAGAGACCATCATGGTGGTTCCCGGCCCCTGACCCTCGCCTGCCTCACCCTCCATCTGTTCCCCGTGCGGGCATGGCTCCTTCCCGGCCCTACTTGGCGCAGAAAGAGGAGCCAAGGTTTCCCCCCATCAAGAACACCTCCAGAGTTATTCCGGAGCCGGGGGAGACTTGGGTTGCTGCCTCTGTGCCAAGCTGGCCGGGACGGAGCCCAGACACCCGTACGGAGGAGTTCAGGTTGGGGCAGCTAATAAGATCAGGTAGGAAGAAATGCCCCCTTCCCAGGTCCCCCCCTCCTGCCCCATACTGGGGCTAGAGTGGCTGGGAGCCAGGTGCCTGCTGGTGTCTCCGTTTGTTTTGCAGCGAGGAGAAGGTTCAGCCTGGGAGCCGCTGCATCACGGGAGGGACTGGAGCCCAGACAAAGGCCTCTCACCCCAGAGGTACTGGGACAGAGGGAAGGACAAAGACCCCCGTAGGGAGGCAAAGTGTGGAAAGGCTCAGAGTTCTGGTAGGGGGAAATGCCAATTGAGTGCTGGAGTGGGGGGGGGAGCAGGCCTGTCTCTCCCCAGCCCCTCACCCCCCTCCTTCCAAGCCAGGGGTCTGGCCATTATGTGCCCAGGCAGGAGCAGCGATGGTTGGCAGCCAGTGGTGACGTGGGCATGGGCAGCATGGCAGGGGTGCTTGTTCTGTCCCCCTCCTTCCCTGGTTCACCTCGCCAGCGCTCAGGCTGTCACTGCAGAAGTTTGGGGGCTGCTCCCCCCGGGGGCCCTATGTCTCCACCGCAGGAGGGCCCTGCCTCCACTGGCTTGCCTGCCCATGGGCTGCTGCCGGGCTCCTCTGTGCCAAACAGGAGGAGGAGGGATGTGGAAGAGTGAGGAAGGGAGGGAGCTGGGAAGGCAGCCTGGGGGGGGGGAAGAGAAAATATTGAGGGCAATGTGCCCCAGAAGGAAATCATTGGGGATGGCCCATGGGACCACTGTCCACTAGAGAGTACAATGTCCTTCTTCCTTCGCAGGGCTGTGGATTGGGAAAACCTCCAGCAGCCCAGCGGTGCTGGGAAACCCAGTGAAATTCGGAGGTATGCTGTGACCTTCTGTGGCAGGGGAAGTGTTTCCCTGTCATCTTACCAACTGCAAGTAAAAAAAGTTCCTGCCCCGAGAGGCTTACAATCTTTAATATGACACAGGGAGGGAAGAGAGAAAGGTTGAGGTCGAGGCTGGATCCTGAGTCCTCCTGCGAGACATAAGCCAGGGTTTCTGAGTTTAGACTTTGGGATTCCCGGACATTTCCCACCTGTAACTTCTTCCTCTGCTTTCATTTTCCTTCCTGTCTCACAGCTTCTCAGAAAGGAAGGACAATGCAGCAGTTGTGGCGCCAGGAATCACTGGAAGTCGTGGGATGTTAATTCCATGGGGAATCCATTCCCCACATGTGCAGGAAAGTTGTGGCCCCGACCTGCGTGAAACAGGGCTGGGTTGGGGTGTTGCAGGCCGGTCTTGCACCACCCCCTCGCCCCCTCCTTCCAAGCCAGGGGTCAGGCGCCCAGGCAGGAGCAGCGATCATTGGCAGCCAGTGGTGAGGTGTATTTTCCTTTCTGTCTCCCAGGTCCTAAGAGGCTACTGTACCGCAGGGCCCAAATGGACAAAGGGGTGACGGCCATGGAAGATGTGGTATGTTAATTCCATGGGGAATCCATTCCCCACATGTGCCAGATACGGCTCGGGTTGGTGAAAGTGCGTCTGAGTTGACGTTCTGTCAGTAGTTTTTGGCCCCTCACAGCCCATTCTCATGTGATGTCCCCCTTCCTCCACAGGGCCACGCCTCCAGGGACGAGGCTCCAGCTCCGGCTCCCGGAATGAAGAACCAGATAACATCCCGGCGGTTCCCGGCTGACGTCCCTCGCGGCACGTCCCCACTGCCCTTCTCCGTACGGGCATGGCTCCATCCCGGCCCGGTTTGGCTCCCTGGCTTGCCTTGTCCACAGATGTTGATAGCTTGGCAGGTCCTCAGCTGTGGTCCCCAGATGATATTTTCTGTTGTGAATTACTGGTTGGTAACTTCTTCTGTTTTCATTTTCCTTTCTGTCTCACAGGTTCTCAGGCAGGAAGGGCACAGCCATGGTGCCATAAGAAACAAATATCCCTGGAGATTGTGGTATGTTAATTCCTTGGGGAATTCATTTCCCACATATTTATTTATTTATATTCCTATACCGCTTTATATTTTTAATAAAAATCTCAAAGCGCTTTACAGCATAATAAATCAATAAATCAATAAAACACTAGCTGGGCGATGTTCCTCCGGCCTCAGGAGGAGTCTCTTCAGTGGGGCTGGCAGGTGGGGCTGGTCCTTGCCCCCTGGCCAGGTGGAAAGGGCCTTGCAGGGAGCGGCCTTCACCCTCCCACCTGCCCCCTATGTCCCTCCGCTGGCTGGCCGTCCCCTGATGTGGCTGGGGGGAGAGAAAACCTGAAAGGCAATCTGCCCCAGAAGAAAATCTTTGGGGAGGGCCCACGGGACCCCTGTCCCCTAGAGTGGATGCCTATGGCAGGAGAGTAAAATGTCCTTCTTCCTTCACAGGAACATGGTTTGAAAGTGCCAGTCAGGGCTCCGGCCAAGCAGCAGCCCAGCGGTGCCACGTCCCAAACCAACATCTGCAGGTATGCTGTGCCCTTCTGTGGCAGGGGTGGGGCAGTCTGAGGATGGCACGGCCGGTGCGCTCACACTGGGCTATTGCCTCATAAGAAAAGGTTTTTGATAGAGGGTGAATTGAAAGGTTCTCAGGCAGAAAGGGCACAGGCATGGTGCCATAAGAAACAAATATCCCTGGAAATTGTGGTATGTTAATTCCTTGGGGAATCCATTTCCCACATATTTATGTATTTTAATTTCTATACCGCTTTATATTTGTAATAAAAATCTCAAAGCGGTTCACAGCATAATAAATCAATAAAACTGTCATGGCCTGTGACAGCCCATTCACACGTCCAGTGATTCTTCCCTCAAAGAAGCCCTTAGTGCTGAGTTCTCTCCTGCTTCAAAGATCCCTTCTTTCTTCCAGGATCTCCTGTCTGCCCCGCTGTGGCTGCTGCCAAAGCCTCCCATAAAAAGAACAAGAAAGAGGAAGGGCTGGGAGAACACCCGCCAAGTTGAGTGTCAACAGAGAATGGGAGAAGAACCTTCCTGCATGAGAGCAGAAAGTAGACACTCTTGTCTTGAAGTGGGTGGGCCAAGCTTTCTTGGGGAGCAATGTCAGGGCAGGGGCATTGGGCATCCATTCCCCACATCTGCCAGGAGGATACCAAGTCCTTCTTCCTCCACAGGGCCACGCTTCATGAGAATGAAGCTGCAGGGGAAGTCCTTGAGTCCTTGAAGCTGCAGGGGAAGTCACTCCCCCTTCTCCCCCTCAGGCTGCTGTTCAGCAGGTGAAGCTGATTCCTGACCCATGACACTATCCCCCTCCCCAAGGTGCCCTCCACCTGCCGGATGGGTGACGCCCTTTGGGGAGCACAATGGTGGAAGTGTTGGACCAACCGGACATTGGGGGAGCATGGACAGGCAAGGCATCTTCCCATGAGGAATTTCCATTAAGTCCATGTCCATAGAAAAGGCCGTAGCCCCCCAATTTCTCTCATCTTTATCTTTGGCAATCACACATAGCCAAGTAAGATTGTCTTCCATGAACACGATCTTAACAGTGAGTTCATAATGGACTATGGAGGCCAATTCTGAATCCACATGTCCTTCCACAGTGGGGATATAGATTTCCAGGTGGGAGTTGATCACGGTGAGGGTTTGCCAAGCGTGCCTTCCTCCTAGTTTGTTTCTCCCTTTTGTCCTGAGTTCGAGTATCTTCAAAGTCCATGACACCGTTGGTAAAGGCTGTTCTCTAATTGGAGCGCTCGCACGCCAGTGTTTCCCAATTGTTTACATAACATTTCTTTTAGATCTGCCTTGAGAGAGTCTTTAAACTTCTTTCGTTGACCACCAGGATTACATTTTTAAGTTGCTTGGGAAGACGATAATCAGGCATATCCCAGGTCTGTTAAACCTGCTTTCCAGGTAATTAGAGGGGGTGGTGTGAGGCACCCGGGCATTAGGAATACAAGCCAAGCCCTGGCTCTGTGGCCCTCCTAAATTGAGGTTATTCTGTTCCTGGGCAGCTGGCAGAGCCCCTCTTCGCTGGGCATGGGACTGCCACATTCCCCGGTCTCCACAGGAGACTCACAGTCCCTTTCTGTGTCTCTGTTCCTTTTTGGCCACCATCAAATGAGGGCGATGGTGACTCTCATACTGGTCCTAAGCTGAAGAGCTGCCCAGCCCAACTGACCTCCTCCCTCCAGAACCCACCGCTCTCAACTGACTCCCAACTGCCTCCCCACCAACATTCAAACTCCCTTTCAAAGCCTCCTCCAATCGTCACTCTCCCCCAGAATTCCACACTCTCTCTTCCCCCCTCCCTCCCTGCTTGACATTCCCTGGGAATCCGAATAGAATTACCTTAGTTACAATATTGTTATAGATTATGGGGGGATCCCCACTAAACCCTAGAAATTAAGAAATGGTTGGATTTGGGATTATTTGGGATGTGAAGGGAGAAATACAAGCTGCAGAGGAATTCCTGGGCTAGCCTATGCAAAAGGACCTGGCCAAGTGAGGGCCTTTAAGAAAGAATTCAAGGACAAGGAGAGCCTAACTGGAAATGCAAGAGAAGTCCTTCTCCCTTGCCCTGTGGTGTGAACAGAGACTGGGGGATTTGAAAGGGGTCCAGGATAATGGTGTGTGGTGAGGAAAACTGAGGCTTTGAGCAAGGGGAGGAGGAGGAGAGTCTGGAATCTAACTTGGGAAGACTGGCTGCCCTGCTTTGGGGGACAAGTCCCTCTTGGAAGGACTTTGCTGTAAGATCTGGACTCCCTCCATGCAAACTGAAGGTGTAAACAGGTGAATAAACTGTATTTCTTAAAGGTAAGACAGTCCCTGCCATGTCTCAATTCTCCAAAGGTGAGAGCCATGGATTCTTGCCATCGCTCAGTAGAGAGAGGGGAGGCACCTTTGGGAACAAAATTTTATAAGCCTGCTCTGTCAAGTCATCCTGTTAGAAGCACTTGAGCTTCCCATTCCTGGTTCCTAGGAAATTGGGGGAAGTGTGGTGCAGGTTCTCCTCCCTGTTCTAAAAAACAGGTGTCTTCCCCTAAATGATCCTGGGAATTTTAGTTTGTCAGGGGTTCTGGGAATTGTAGTTCTGTGAGAGGAAAGAGGCAATGCCCAGGATCGTTTGGGGGACGTCATGTGCTTTAAATGCTCATTGGATATTTTAATCATGTTGTTGTTTAGTCATTTAGTCGTGTCCGACTCTTCGAGACCCCATGGACCAGAGCACACCAGGCACTCCTGTCTTCTACTGCCTGTCAATTTTAATCATAGGATCATAGAATTGTAGAGTTGGAAGGGACCCCGAGGGTCATCTAGACCAACCCCTGCAATGCAGGAATCTCAGCTCAAGCATCCATGGCAGATGGCCATCCCACCTCTGCTGAAAAACCTTCAAGGAAGGAGAGTCTACTGCCTCCTGAGGGATTTCTTCCCACTGTCAAGCAGCTCTTCCTGTCAGAAAGCTTTTCCTGAAGCTGAGTTGGAATCCCCTTTCTTGTAACTTGAATCCACGGCTTCAGGTCATGAGGGCTTCTGGAGCAGGAGAAAACAAGCTTCCTCCCTCCTCCCTGTGACGGCCCTTAAGATATTGAGAGGGCCGCATGGTGTGTCTCTCATATCCATGTCCTGAGGGACAGAGAGCAAAACATCTCTCTCTCTCCCCTTTCTCCAGCCCAGGCAGAATTGCAAGGGGTCTGTGCATCTGGCTGGTGAGGAGATGGTCGGAGTTTGGAGCCCAGCCAGGGCTGGCTATGGGCAGGATCCTGGCATTGCCAGGGGTTGGACTAGATCAGTGTTTCCCAACCTTTTTTGGGCAAAGGCACACTTGTTTCATGAAAAAAATCTCGAGGCACACCACCATGCCAGATGGGGAAAGGTCACTTTTTACTTATGTAAAAAAAAAATAAAAAAATAGTAACAGCATAGAAGGTAATGGTTATCTCTTTGATGTCTGATGGGAGGGCATTCCACAGGGCGGGCGCCACTACCGAGAAGGCCCTCTGCCTGGTTCCCTGTAACCTCACTTTTCACAGTGAGGGAATTGCCAGAAGGCCCTTGGCACTGGATCTCAGTGTCTGGGCTGAACGATGGTGGCGGAGACGCTACTTCAGGTATACTGGACCGAAACCGCTTAGGGCTTTAAAGGTCAGCACCAACACTTTGAATTGTGCTATAGCTTGTTTAGCTTATACATAAATCCTGCACTGATTCATTTATTAAATCTGTGTACTGTACGTGGTTTCGAGGAAGGGAGAGAAGAATAAAATCAATAGCCATTGGAGAAAGAGGGCGCCTTTAATAGACAGAGAAACCGAACACAGAGACGCCGTCCACCCGCTCAGCTCCGCCTCTCCTCACAGCTGAGGCGGCGAAAACAGGAGCTCACGAGCGAGCGAAGAAGGGAAGCCCGGTACAATACCCGGATGACGCGCAGGCGCCTTCTCCGCCCTGCCCTGCCTACGGCCTCCCCAGCCAGCGAATTGGGGCTCTTCTCCCATTTGCGGTGTCGGAAGGCGAGTGCGGAGCGGGATGTCGCCCGCCACCCACGAGCCGCCTCATCAGCCCGGCGGCCAGCAGTCGGACGGTGCGTGTTTGTTTGCCCGGAGCCGCCAGGTCACGCGGTGCGCAGCTTGGGTCCTGGCCTCGCGTTCTTCCCGCTGGGTCTGGGGGGTTGGAGCGCGCGCACGTCCCGCTACAGCTGGTGCAGCAAAGTTTTATTTCCCACTTAAGGGAAGAGAGTAGTCGCTGAGGCAGGCTTTAACGGTAATAATAATAATAATAATAAATTTTATTTATATCCCGCCCTCCCCAGCCGAGCCGGGCTCAGGGCGGCTAACAACAGTCAAATAACAATCAAATAATAGCACATTCTAAAAATATTTCGTTATAAAAATTAGTTAAAATCAAATTGATGGCAACCGATTAAACAAAATTCTGTGCAGGTTGCCGGAGGAGGGAGTCAGGCTGCGCCCTGACCAAAAGCTTGGCGGAACAACTCTGTCTTGCAGGCCCTGCGGAAAGATGTCAGATCCCGCAGGGCCCTAGTCTCTTGTGACAGAGCATTCCACCAGGTTGGAGCTGCAGCCGAAAAGGCCCTGGCTCTAGTTGAGGCCAGCCTAACC